CAATGGCGCCCAATTTAGTACGTGCGGGGGAATACAGAATCCCATATGTCATGTTTATCATTAAGTGAAAGAGATGGACAATAATCCTTTTGCACTTCTTCCGTATGTGTCTAGGCTGTTATGTATAAGGAGTATTTAACAGGACAAATAAGTGGACTACTCTGAGGAACCTTCTAGGAGGATTATTACAAATATCAAATTCTGCATTCACCATTTGGACATTTTTTCTCCCTTGTATGTTACGGAAAATTTGTCTACCCTCACATTGAAGACGAGTGGGGCATACAGTCGTAGATGAAATGTCTCGCGGCGTTCAGATATGTTTCCCCCAGGATGAGTCGCAATTCGTGAGCTCCCTTTGACATGTGTTTCGCATTGCAATTGTACCAAACAGTGGGGTTGATTATCTTCCTAATTTGTTAACTATTTCACTTACTTGTTGTCCGTGTGTCTGGAAGTATGTCTCCCTTTCCTTTTCCGGGGAGCAGTCCCTCGCCTCTTTCTGTACTCTGTATTTATCAAAGTTTTCTCAGGTCATCTCAATCTAGGGCATTTGTATGAACCCCATTCCAATGTAACATGTAGGTATGCCTGTCCTATTTCGCCCCTGAAGATGCTCTACTCTAGCTACTTCATTATCATGATGGTGACCGCCTTTGTATTATTGTTCGTTCGTCTCCTCTTATATGAGGCATGTAAATCTTTGTGGTTTATACTCAGCGGTTTTTTTTTCTTTTTGACATCCCCAGAAAAATTCTGTGTGTATCTGCTGTTTGGGGACGCTTGCATATTTTCCTCGTTCAAACAGTCTCCTATGTGGCCGCTCATGTACAACTTCACGTGTTTTGTATCCTATGGCTCTTTGCACTCATCCGGAAGCATCATGAATAGCGGTATCGAGAATTCCGTATGTATTTCTTCATCTGTAAGTACACACACTTCGTGGTTATGCACCTCCTGTCTCTTTTTATGGCAATTTGTTCCTGACGTGTTATTCGTCGTCTCCTGTATTACATACTTGGTTTTTTCTTTTCGGTAGAGCCTGATAACTTTATCAGACAAACTATCTGGAATGTACTGTTTCATACGTATGGGCTGTTTTGAAACCTAATTGCCACATAGACTTTTTCGCCTTTGTAGGACAAGAGTATGTCGTTCCTGGTTAAATTGATTGGGTGTGGACATTACAATTTCCTGAACGCATTGTTCTTCCGTTGTGCGTCCTTCCTGTAATCTTCGGAATTAATTGTTCTGTTTAAACATGTCAAGAATATACGAGTATTTATGTTCCAAACTATGCCACTAATGTTTTGGTATCTACAGATCATCAAAGTTGTGCGCATCTATGCAGATTATATTGCTCCATCAAGTAATTTCACATGTCAGATCTTCATTTTTCATAAATGTCTGGACGACTATTTGGAGGAAATGTTTCTTGGTAAATTTGCATTCTTCTTTTTTGATTCATCTAAAAGTTCTGTATGTATATATAAAATCTTCTACGGAACGTTTGTTCTTCATTTTGCATGTATACACTCTTTGGGATGTCTCAATTACATATTAACTACTCATTCAAGGTTGCACAGTCGTACTTCGTCATTATGATATCATATATCCTTCTTTCTTCTGCACTCATGGCTACACATTGCTATCCGTATGTTTACCCTTCTTCGGGATTTGCGCTTTCCATACTTGGAGGCGAACAGCGATTCTGGAGGCATCTATTGCGATAGGGGAAAGAATTGGCATAAGGGGTTAGGTTGGGTTTTCCGCCGTCCTGTAAATACTAACCACAGTGTACTAAATGATATTTTCTCCGTCCACATATATATACATATATCTATACTTTGATAAGAAGGATACCCTCTATAATGGGACCCCCGACTGATAAGATAATAACTGAGACCTAAATAAAGGCAATTCCATCATTATGTACAGTCCGGGGGGCTACACGGCGTGTGAGGTGTGCTTAGGATTGCCAATTTCCCGTCCTGAAAGTAGTAAGCATAATGACCAGGAGGGGAGCATCCGTAGCACTTAAGGACATTATGTAGTCCCCAAAGCGCAGAATTTATTTGTGCTGGGCTGTGACATATTTGCATAAACTGATAGGTAAAGCACAGAGGCTGCTGGATAAAATAGACTGAACCTACTAGGAAAGGGAAGAGGGGGGCAATACCCGTTGGGTAATATCCGCGGCTGGGGGATCTGATGCAGGAGGCCTCCAATCTGCACATACAATATCAGGAAATTGAATAATTCGGACCGTAAGTACACCTTCCCAATCTTTACTTATTTTACATTTATATTTTCGGTGTGTATACCCGGTGTCATTGCTTTCAACCTTTCAACACTGAGAACTGCAGTTGAAGTTGATATTGATGCATTCCTACCT